TTGCGAACATCGAGGATACCTGCTTATAGATAAACCGAGTCTGATTAAAATTCCCCAACATTGTGATATATCTGGTGATAGTTTCAGATTTAGTAACAAAGATGACTTGATAACTGGGCAATCATTCCTTCTACACGAAATACCCTTGGGAGGTGCAAATGAACCTCCTGTACACAGTGATCACATCCACTTGGACAACATCAACTTCGATGAGATCTCTAAAATACAAGCCGAAGCGAGTCATCTTCATCCAACACCACTATCAGGCGCATATGACGTCAACCTTGTTATCAGTGTTGATAACTCTGGCACTTCTGATTTTTGGCTGGGTTATTTACACCAATAGAGACCATTTCAGATGTCTGAAGAAATTTTCACTACGTGAACGGGAAAATAGCGCAAAAAATAAGACATCCGTCTTATTTTCCGACCTAACGGGGGAGAAGTTACATTAATGAGTGGAATTTTGACTTATATTGTTTATTCACTCATATTTACTTTGTTTTATTAGAGCTGTGGTTTCTCATGCTCAATTATCTTTATTTACTATTATTATCATTAGTATATAACGACAAAATTTATTATAATATTTTAGTCTTAAGTCTGGGTTAGAATTGTAATTATTAGGAAATAAAATTCTTTGTTGAATATTCCTTTTTCAATTACATAACTCACGAACTTCTCTAACGAGTTATATGACACACCGAAAAAACAAATTACTTGAGCTTAATAATTACATTTATTTGGCTCACGTTTATTTAAGTCAATTGTAGTACATTGGAGAATAATCGTGCTTGTTTTTTACAAGTATTTACATCTATTTTTTTGCACTATACATTATTGCATCAATTTGTCATAAATAAATGATTTATTTAATGTAAGATGTTATTTTATATAGTTAGAGCAAATAAATTGTTATATCAGTGTAAATTGATTGTAGGTAAAGAAAAAAAAATGTTAACGTAATCACAAATAAACCATAGCTGATAAATATAGTATTAATATAAAATAAATGATATTAAAAACTAAGGTACTCAGTTAAGACCAAATCGAATGACTGTTTGCCACTATTAAATTGAAGAGTAATGTTTAAATTATGTCTACCTTACCAAAAATAAATGCGCACGTTAATATGATTTAATAATGGTTACTATAGTTTAGTACTAGTAAAGTAATGTCCTAGAGCTAAAACCAAATTTATTTATCATTAATAAATCGCGGAACGGGCGGGAAAAACACAACGCAGTGCGCTTGTGTGCCTCTCCGTTTTTGCGTCGTTTGCTAATTTGATTGGCTTGTCCTGCAGAAACTTGTTTGGCGTTAACACGTGCGTTACATGTGCGTCACTTTAAAATACTGAATGTGAAAATATAGTATCGTTCTTACATTAATTACTGCAAATAACAATATAACAATGGATGTTAGTGTTGGTGAAATATTAGTGCAATGTGGATTTGCTGATCTTTGCTTCACATTCGAAGGTAATTAATTAATTAAACATGGCATAAAACTCTTTTCATTAACAACGACCAGTAGTTCTAGCGTCGTAAAAAGTGTTTTCGTCTCTATTTTAAGCTGCGTGTACACAAGAAAATAACTTGCGAGGGGAACTTCTGAGAGTACTTGCGCAAGCGTTTACATACCAAAAAATAAACTGACCAAATACCTCTCAGCAACTGCTATCTAGAGTGGCGCTTTGGCAACTAATTGCATTGCCGTGTACACCAGATAGTCTTTTAATTCGTGCTAGAGTAAAACATGTAAAAATTTCGATATTATTTTGTTTCACCGGAAGGGGAAGTTGCATGGCAATACAGGCACATTTAATTACTGTGTAAATAATGAACTTCCAATACAACAATAAATACATTTAACAATTCAAAATACATTTTATTACTTACCAAATTATCTTCGCCTTGTGCCATTGAAATTTCGTCATTAAACAGAAATTTGAGAGCATCAAAATATTCCCAAGAGCTCTTGTATACGTCATCAGCGCCTGCTCTACTGCGTCTTTTCTTAATTTTTTTACATTCCTGATTTTGTTGAGTGCGGAGGTTGTGTAGTTTTCTTTGGATTTCACTTACACTAGCTTTAAATTTATCTGCTATGGCCTTAAACGCTTTTTCTTTTTTAATCCTATCTCGATACATTTTTGATTTTACATTCCACAATTCCGGGAATCCTTCATACATTTGAATCAAGGCGTACGTTTCTTCCTTGGACCACGACCGTTTCTTGGTGTCCATATTTAATAATAATAACTTGATGCCGCTTGCCACTCTAGATAAAAACTTTCCAGACAAGCTTGAAATAAATACTGCTTGGCTAGAGGTCTCTAGCAAATCGTTTATACTTGCAAATTGTTTATTGCATAAAGTGCTTGCCGCAACTTGCAAAACTTGCAGCAAGCGTACTCTCTACCACTGTTTACACCAGCCAGTGCACCAGCAAGTACTCTCAGAGAGTAGCTTGCGACAGTTTTACTTGCTCATGTACATGCAGCTTTAGACCAAAGTATAACCGACGTCGATGTGTTCAAAGAAGTAGTCGAGTCGGAAACGTTGCTAAAAAATATAATTCCACAACTTGGCAAACGTCTGTTATTAAAAAAAAAAGTTAACGAATATTTCGCACCTAGGGAACAAGAGCGGGAAAGTCCTAATAATGACCGAGAGATTAATGTGTGAGTATTCATGGTGTAATCGGAAGACTTATTGATTTTATTTTGGTAATATTTTAAGCTATTCCAAATGGAACAAGAGGTTGACACCTACACCGTCGTCTATTGCTTCAACAGTAACCCTTATTGCAAGTGGCGATATTTCTGAATTTGATACTTCTAGTGCTTCCACTTCGACAATACAAAATACATCTTATGATGCAAGCATTAAATTTGATACTGCTGATAGTGCTGATATTGCCAACTTTGATTTATTAAACTTATTGCGTTCATCTTGCATGGGGAAAGCACTACTACACTGGTATGAAATTAAAAATGCACCATTTCCAAGTTGTTACCAAGGACATTTGGTAGAAATTATAATAACACACTTTTTAGATATAAACTACAGGTAAACAAACAAATATATTACATTTTTTTGTATTGAGTGACCTTCCATGTGACAGTAGGTATAGCAAAATCTAATTTGTTTTAGGCGCTTGACAAATCCTGATTTTCAAATTTTGGCTGATAAAATTGTGAAAGTATTCACTAAAGAGACACGACAAACCTATTACACAGCCCCAGTAAGAAAACGGGATTCCAGAGATCAGAAAGCTGGGGTATCACATGGGAAACTTGTTGACAAATACAAGAATAAGTTGACATTTTTAAGAAACACTGGTTTGTTGCCAGCAACTTTAAAAAATACTGAAGTGGAATCAGATAATGTATCTTCGAGTAACGGTATAGAACTGTTTCTGTTGATTACAACAAACTGCTTTACATTACATGTGTGATTATTGTAGATCCATCAGTATCTGATGAAACTGAGCGCAGCCTAATTTGGCTTAAAAACAACAAAGAACCACTGAAGTAGTGGAACATTGGGAAAATACAAGGAACTTCCGGAAAGTGTTTCTTGAAAAAGACGTTTCGCTTACCACAATTTTTACGAAATTTCCAATTTTGAAAGAACCATTTGGATTATCTTTGGTTTGTATTTCTAGTGATTTTTTGCAAATAATGAAGTTATTCTTTTCTAGCTGGGTAAGGATTTTGAACACACTTTTCCTGGAAAGACAATTTTATTTTACGAAAAATGGAAATCTGCGTGGACAAAATTAATCAGCATACGACGCCAGACCTTAAATGACGTTAATAAGGTCATATCTGATCTAGTCACAGACGAAAATACATCAGAAAGTAAGTTTTCGTGCATTGAACATTTACTGAATTTTTTGTATTAGGAAAGACACTGATTTGATTATTAAAAAATGTAAATTTTAAATTACAAATTATACATAATACTATAAAAATGTATGCATTAGTGTATCAGTTATCGGTCACTGGACTCCAGGGGTGTACCTATTTAGGAAATGCTTCTTAATATTATCCGTTGTACCTAAATAATACCTAATAGTGGTATTATTTATTCATTTTTAGACTACCGCACTTATTTGATGCTAATTTTGTTACCTTCTCTCTTACCAACACGTCCAAGACACGTTATTGCAAAAGGAAAAACACAGTGGAAACCCTCCATCCTAGAATGTAGAGAAGGTATAATTATGAGAGCAGAGGTACGTGCCGGTAGCCGCAACTTTTTGTTATAAATCTAATTTTATTTTTTGTCACAGATACCAGCAGATATTGAAAAACTTACTGTTCATTCGATAGACCAGTGGTGGGTTTGTCACCCCCACCCTGCTCAGGTCTCACTTGTAATTTTAAGATAGAACGTAATAAACCATCGAAGGGAGAACAAGCCTATTACTCATCCCTTCAAACGTTCCAACATTTTTGGTCCAATCGAGCCTGATGGAACCATCCATCTGAATCAGCAAAAACAAATAAAACCCGATCAAATGATCCAGGCGTTTTTATTCAAATCACATCTTCACGGCGTCGACACATTCGTAGTGTGTGTGTAAAAGTGAAGGTGTAAGCGATCCAGACGATCCAAGAAAACATCCACCCGATTCACGTGTACGGAGTGCGTCGGGAAGAAATCCAGTCGACTCTCACTCCCGGAATTTCCCAAGAAGAAATCCAATCGACTCTCACTCCCGGAATTCGTCAGGAAGAAATCCACGCAACGGTGACGCAAAAAGAATCCATCCGATTTCCACGTCCGGAGTTCGTCGGGAAGAAAAGCAGCTGCCGATCCCGAGCCCCGAGCCATCTCAGCGTCCACACCGTGTCCGAGACGTTCAGGTCAGATCCTTCCTTTTTTTAATTACCTTAAAGCGCAGTTTAAGCAAGCCTCAATTTTTGTTAAATATTCGATTTTGTTGCATACTAGGTTTATATTTTTTGTATTTATTATTTTTACAAAATGGCTTTGGATGAGTTAAAAACACAGCGAAAGGTCATTAAATATAGCATTACTCGACATCAAACTGCGGTAAATGCCTTTAAAGAAGGAAGTAATGTTGTAACTTTAGAGACTAGACTTTCAGACCTGTCGGAATTATTTAAAAAATACAATGCAATTCAAAGCGATATTGAATCGCTTCAGTTTAAGGAATTATCGGATAGAGATGATTTTGATGAGGCAGCCTGGGACGCGGGAAACGATAAAGAGCGCACCGGGGTAGAAAATCAGTATTATGAGGTAGTGGCGAAAATTAAGACGTTTTTGTTGAAAACTGATACGTGTACGGGCCCTGGAGGGTCAACTACAGTAATAAATATTAATAAATCTGCATCCGATTCTAATGAAAACGTGACAAATTTAAAACCGTTGCCTTTACCAGTCTTTTCAGGAAAACTTAGCGAATGGTATAACTTCTATGATTCGTTTAAATCATTAGTGCATGACGATAAAACTATTTCGGACATTCGCAAATTTCATTATTTGCGCGGTTGTCTTAAAGATGAAGCGTTCAGAGCTATTGAATCACTCACAATTTCCAATGATAATTATGTAACTGCACTAGAACTACTCATTAAACGCTTCGAAAACAAGCGGCTAATCGTAAACGAGCACGTTTTAAATATCTTAAATATTACACCGTTAATGAAATCATCTCATGTAGAATTGCGCCAACTTTTAGATGCGGTAAACAATAACATTGCAGCGCTCAAGGTTTTAGAATTACCGGTGGACCAGTGGGACGCCCTTTTGATACCTATTATAACTGAAAAATTAGACTATGCCACCAAACGGGAATGGCAAACAGTTCTAAACAAGGAGGTTCCAAAATACGTGGATTTTAACGAATTTTTAGAAAAACGATATCAAATTCTTGAAGCATTAACCACCATCAAACCGCAAATTTCAAATAACTCAAAACCAACAAATACATTCAAGAATAACAACAATAGTAATAATAATAAGTATGGCAATAACAGATCATTCTCTAATCACCTAGTGTACAAGCCCACTTGTAGTTTTTGTAAAAAAGGCCACAGTATTTATCAGTGTGACGATTTTTTGAAGCGGACTGTAGTTGAAAGACTTAACGAAATATCAAAATTACAAATGTGTGAAAATTGTTTGCGCACCAATCATAAGGCCGAACAGTGTAAATCAAAGAGTTTATGCAAAATCTGTCGTGAAAAACATCACACTTTGTTGCATATTAATGAATTTAATCCAACTCAAACATCTTTGTACACTGTAGGGCCCAGTCAAGTCCTATTAAGCACTGTAACAGTGCTAATCGCGGACAGACACGGTAATTTTCACAAATGCAGAGGCCTACTTGATCAAGGATCACAGGCAAATATTTTAACATCGAAAATGTGTAAAAAACTTGGCTTGTTTACAACAAAGGTAGCTACATCATTAACAGGTATTAATTCAAGGGCTATCTCCATAAACGAGGGTGTCAAGGTGACAATAAAATCCCTTGCATCAGATTTCGCCTCTAACATAAATTGTCTAATCGTGCCGAAAATCACAGAGCCGACTCCATCTTTTTCATTTCCTAAACAATTAATTAAAGTGCCCACAAATGTAACACCTTCTGATCAGGATTTTAATTCTCCTAAGGATATTGATTTGTTAATAGGAGCGGGATTGTATTGGGATTTGTTAATCGGTGCCGCATTTCAGTTAGAAGTTAATCAACCATTTTGGCAAAACACAAAATTGGGCTTTGTAGTAGGGGGCAATTTTATGATATCCGTAACATCCGTCAATAATAATGCGTGTAATTTATTATCGAGCAAATTAAAGGAAGGGGACTTAGAATTGTGTTTAGAGAGTTTATGGCTAGACGAAGAAATTGAAGGCGGTACGACTTTGTCCGGAGATCATTTACGATGCGAAACTCATTTCGGCGAAAACTACGCGAGAAGTTCTCACGGTCAGTTCATTGTAAAATTTCCCTTTATGGAAAATACCCAACTCGGTAATTCCTACGACATGGCATTAAACAGATATTTGGGTCTGGAACGGAAGTTGGGCAAAAATCCCTCACTAAAGGAGGCTTATGTCGGTTTCATGAACGAGTACCTGAATCTTGGCCACATGGAACCGGCAGCAATAAAACATCTTGAAGGAGACAATATTTACTACCTTCCACACCATGCCGTTTTTAAAAACACAATTAGTGGCCCTAAAATTAGAGTTGTTTTTGATGCGTCGGCACCGACATCAAATGGTCTTAGTTTAAATGACATTTTGTTAACGGGTCCAACTTTACAGCAAGATCTTTTTTCTATACTATGTAGATTCAGAACATATAAATATGTAGTTTCAGCTGATATAACTAAAATGTACAGAATGATTTTAATGCACGAAAATGACCGCGATTTCCAAAGAATCCTCTGGCGGAATGAAGTTTCGGAACCTGTACAAATCTATCGATTAAATACAGTGACATATGGAACCACATGCGCACCATTTTTGGCAGTCAGGTGTTTATTTCAATTAGCGCTCGAAGCTGAAAACGATTTCCCGTTAGCTAGTAACATAATAAAACGCGATTTTTATATGGATGATCTATTATCAGGTAGCAATTCAAAGGAGGAAGCACTCCTCATCAAAGGTCAGGTTACGAAAATTCTAAAAAAAGGTGGTTTTAATCTTTGTAAATGGACGTCAAATTTGGACGAACTTTCAGCAGAAGGAGATCATTCAACTGCAATAAATCTAAACAAGGGGGATTATAAGATTTTAGGGTTTCATTGGAACTGTACAGATGATCAACTAAAATATAATGTTAATATTCAGCAAATCAGTACCGACAATATAACAAAACGAGGCATTCTTTCAACCGTTTCAAAAATCTTTGATCCTCTAGGTCTTATAAACCCGATAGTAGTAAAGGTCAAAATATTACTACAACTTATTTGGAGTCAGAAGTTAGAATGGGATGATCCATTACCGCAAGAAATCAAGGATGTATGGCTTAAATTCGTTAATGACTTATCCGAAGTAAACAATTTGCGCATTTCTCGTAATTTAATACCCTCGTACCCTTATTTGCAAATAGAAATACATGGTTTTGCCGACGCGTCCGTAAAGGCATATGGGGCTTGTGTGTACCTGAGGGTGATAGACTCTTCACAAAAAATAACAGTTAACTTATTATGTGCCAAATCGCGGGTGGCACCGCTCAAAACAATTAGTTTACCGCGTTTAGAGCTTAATGCAGCAGTTTTGTTAATAAAACTCGTAAATAAAGTAATCAAAACTTTGAACAGGCCTTTCCACAAACAATATTTGTGGAGTGACTCAACTATAGTTTTAGCATGGTTGGCCGATCCTCCACATCCCAAGTCGCTGTCGGTTCCTTGGTGGTAATCATCGAGGACAATTTGCCACCATTGAAATGGAAACTGGGACGAGTGCTCCAACTTCATCCGGGGCTAGATGGTGTAGTGAGGGTGGTTACAGTGAAAACATCGACTGGGGTTTACAAACGAACCATAAAAAAGGTGTGCTTACTTCCAGCAGACGCAGACTAATAAGTGAAGGACCTTTAACATTTCTGATATTTGTAATTTTTATTTATTTATGTCTCAAATTTTGAAGCCTATCCTTCAAGGGGGGCGGTATGTTCATTCGATAGACCAGTGGTGGGTTTGTCACCCCCACCCTGCTCAGGTCTCACTTGTAATTTTAAGATAGAACGTAATAAACCATCGAAGGGAGAACAAGCCTATTACTCATCCCTTCAAACGTTCCAACACTTACCACCACTAAAAATGAAAAAATGAAAGCTTTGCATTTAACGTCGCAGCCATTTATAATAACTGAAGGAGCTGGAACCAACATCAATAAAGTTTATGTAAATGTAGAGGAACAATTGTATCCTTGTGCCACGGTTTTAAAAGCAGTAGAAACATGCTTTCACTGTTTTCATATACTAAATTTAAGATACCCACTGGAAGCTGAAGCTGTTTGGCAGTTTATTCAAGTAGCAATGTTCGACATTAAAACTAAATGGGATAAACCGATTCCCACTATTTCTGACATTATAAATAAAATTAATAATAATTAGGTAAGTGTTTGTATTAGAGTGTAAAAATATTTCACATCTTGCAAAATGTATCTTTGTCATATCTGCTTAAAAAAATTTAATTGCTTTCAAGTTTTGATAAACCATTTAAAAACTTCTCATAAATTTTGTGACAAGTTTACATGTCCAGATTTAAGGTCCTTAAAAACTTTTAAACATACATATTCTTTACAGAAACATTTTAAATTGAAACATACGCAGCCATTGCTAAATACTACTATTTGTGATCCGAATCGTAATTCTAAAAATGAAATACTTCCAGTGCATTCTAGATCTATTGCCGGCACTAGTGAGGAAAATACTTGCCTTGATGATACCAAATTACCTGGCAACATAACAATTTCCGATATTTCCGAATATGTTATTTCTTATCTGACGAAATTTTATAATAATCCTACAGTAACCAGAAAATTAATTCAAGAAATTGTAGAAAATACACATGCATTGGTTAATGAGATTCTTTTATATTTAAAAAATTCTCTTCTACCTTATTTTACACACTTAAATGATAACGATATTCTACAACTTAAATATTTATTGTCTGATAATCCATTCAAATCAATGCTGACAGAATATACCCGTTTTAAATATTTAGAAAATTCAACAAATTTTATTAAAGCAGAAAGTAAAACTGTGGGCACTTTTTTAAATGATAAAAAAATTGGAAGCAAGACTGCTCTAGTACATAAATATTCTGAAGCTCAAATTGTCCCTATTCGAAAAGTTATAAAAAAATTTCTTGAGTCTGGTGACACTTTACAAGTGATCTTAAATTATGTTAATGACGAATTACAAAATTCATTTTACAGCATTTTCAACACCACATTATATAAAAATACTCTAAAAAAGTTTCCCGATAAAATTGTTATACCATTGTTAATGTTTTTTGATGATTTTGAATGCAATAACCCCCTTGGGACACATGCTGGGGTTTATAAAATAGGTGGAGTTTATTTTTCAATAGCAGGCGTACCTCCAAAATATTGATCGCGCTTAGAAAATATTTTCCTTTTGGCATTGTTTCATTCTTCAGATCGAGGCTCATATGGTAATCGAGCTGTTTTTAAAGACATTTTAAAGCAATTCCAAAATTTGGAACAAGATGGAGTACCAATTAAAACCAAAAATGGCGTCGTTCGTGTTCATTTACCATTGCTACTAATTTTGGAGGACAATTTGGGAATCAATTCAGTGACTGGATTTACAAAAAGTTTTAATTCGAATTATTTTTGTAGATTTTGCACACTAAGCAAAGAAGAATGTAAAGCAGTATGTAGTGAAACTGACATAAATTCTATAAGAACACTCGAAAATTATAAAGTTCATTGTTTAGACAATAGCTATGGTATAAAAGAGGAGTGTATTTTTAACGATCTTTCTAGTTTTCATTGTATCACTAATACTTGCTGTGATATTATGCACGATCTTTTTGAGGGGGTTTGCAGGTACGATATGGCAAAAATTTTAAATTATCTAATTATCTTTTTTCTCTAGATGAACTAAACAGGCGTATACAATATTTTGATTATGACCAGGATCTAGACGTGGGTAACAGAATTCCGACTCTAATAACAGAGCAGCATATAAGAAAAGGATATATAACAATGTCTGCATCAGAAATGTTAGGTTTTTGTTATTTATTTCCCTCTCTTAATCGGTGATCTAGTAGATATTGAGGACGAATGTTGGATCTTCTATTTAACGCATTTAGATATTGTGTACGTTGTTATGAGCGACAGATTTAACAAAGAATATTTAATATACTTACAACAATTGATTAAAGAACATCACGAACTTTATGTTTCCCTGTTTAATGAAAATCTAAAACCAAAATATCATTTGCTTCTGCATTATCCACGTGTGATCGAAAACGTTGGTCCTTTGCATTTCTTATCTTCTATTAGATATGAGGCGTTCCACAGAATAGGAAAAGTTAATGCTCATGTTGTTACATCGCGGAAAAATATTGTTTATACCTTAGCAATTCGCTATCAACTCAAGCTATGTTATAGATTACAATATAACATAGGTTTAAACGATAACATTTGCATAGGAAAAATTATTGATTACGATTACAAACACGATGACTGTCTTTTTGGACATGTAAATATATTAATAGTTTCATATGGCAATATTTATTTTGTTAGATGGATAAAATTTAATGGAGTTTATTTCAAGAATAATTGTATTGTACGATATGACACAGATCGACAGGGCAATCCTCAGTTTGGTCAAATTTTGACTATCGTTTCGACGAATACCAATGATATATTTTTCTATTGCAGAACTTTGAAAGTTTTGTCAACTAACTGCAATTTAAAATGTTACGAAGTCAGTTTTAGTAATTCTTATAGATTTATTAAATTAACAGAACTTTATAAAATCTACTCCAGTAAAATGCATGTACAGTAAAACCCCTCTTATCCGTGTCTCAGTTACCCGGTCTCTCAGTTACCCGTGCTGTTTGGGTGATTTCACAAATCCGTGCGATAGCCCGATTTTTCCAAGAATCAGATTCAGTTATTCGGGCGGATGTTGTGTTAAGGAATTATTTTTAAGAATTCAGTCGTTTTGAAGACACAGATCGAACCATGTCCGGTGTGCGGAAAAAAATTGTTTTAACTTTAGAGAAAAAAGCAGAAATGATTCAAAAATCTGGACAAGGAATTCCGGTACACCAACTGGCTGCTGACTTGATGAGTGTTCGCAATTTACAAAGAAAAATAAAAAATCAAATGATAAAGAAACAGGCATTAATAACTGACTATTTTAAATAAAAGTTAAAGTTTATTTGTATTTTTTTTTGAATAAATACGTTAAATTTATCATTTTTTAATTCAATCCTATTATCCGTGTTTTTCTCTTATCCGGCGGGGGGTCGAGCAGCCATTAGCACGGATAAGAGTGGTTCTACTGTACTCCCAACTCTTATGCCCGTTTGCACCAGTTTAGCTTAAAGTTTTGGTTTAACTAAACTTCGCTTTCGTTTAAACCGGGCCTAAGATCTATGAGCGTTGCACCACTATCGGCTTAACAAAGCGTTACATTAACCACTGTTTCCGTAAAAGCGCCTTTGCAGTAGTGGTTTCTGACAGTATTTTGACAGATGGCAGTATATCTTAGTGATGCCCACAATGCCAGCAGAAGATCGATTCTAAGAATCAATTTTTTTTGTTTCGGGCGATTCTTAACAATCGATTTTTCTGAGAAAAAAAGATCGATTCGTAAAAATCGATTTTTTAAAATTTGTTTTATAATATTGACGTGTTTAACGAACTTCATATTTTAATATGAAGTTTCTTTTAAAAAAATACCACCTGATTAGTTGCTTTTATAATATTTATTTAGCAAAAAATAAAAAGTAAATTTCCTATACTAAACATAACAAAAATAAATTTTATATTCTTAAACATGAACAAAAATAAATTTTATATTCTTAAACATAACAAAAATAAATTTTATATTCTATAATAATTTTGTATAGAATTAAGTAACAAATGATTTTCAACTTAGAGCTTGCACGTTTCAATTATTTAAATGCCACTCGTCTTCCTCTAGAGATCCTAAAAAAAGAAGAGCGGAGAGTCTTTTACTTGCAAGTCTATTTCTCAGTTCACTTAAATTAATACCCGCTTTGCTGAAAAGTCTTTCAGACGGCACTGATGTGGCTAAAATACTTAAGTGTTTCAAAGCAATTTTTGATAAATATGGATATACATGTTTGACCGAAGTCCAAAACTTGATAGGATCTTCTGTTCTTGAACTTAAGGTTTGGTTTAAATAGTTTTTTAATTCAGAAGGTATACCTGAATTGTTACAAACTCCTTCATTTTGTTTAATGGATAATTTGTCATGAACCGCCCATAAATTTAATCCAGTACTGGTCATGTCAGTAAGTTTTTCTTGGTTTTTGTCATAATTTCGTGGTGACACTGACACTGAGTCATTTTTTTTGTGTTCATCAATTAAAACTTTTATTCTTGCAACTGCTGCTGTATCTGCTAATGGATTTTCAAAGTGTATGCGTTTAAATCTTGGATCGAGTATAGTAGAAACTGACAGCAAATTATTTTTTTCCACGCTGGAATTATCCGAATAAAACCTTCTCGCTACCTCCTCTTTTAACTTATTCAAAATTTGTTTGACAACGTTAGTGCTAACTTCTACTTTATCTAAAGTAAGCTTTAGACAGTGTACTATTGGTATAACCTTACTTGAAGTGACATAATTTTGTCCTGACATTTCGACAGTCATGGCTTCAAAGGGAGCTAAAACCAATATCAACTCTTTCAAAATTGCAATGTTTTCTTGATCAATCATTTTAATATTTTGATTGTCAAAAAGGATAATGCTAATCAATGGTGCAAGCTCCAAAAATCGTTTCAACATGTAGTATGTCGAATTCCACCTAGTACTTATATCTTGAATAAGTTTCAGACAAGAACCTTCTGTTTTCCCATTCTGTATTTGATATGTTCGAAGTTTTTGGGCCGCATCATGACTTGTTTTAAAAAACGTAACAATAGCCTTCACTGAAGAAATAATATTATTGACATCTTTCAAACTGTTGGTAACAATTAAATTGGTAGTATGCGCAAAACATGGTAAATGTTTCTTACTACCAAAAAATTCATGCACAGCTTTCACCATATTTCCTGCATTGTCTGTAATAACTGCTGTTATTTTATCTTTAGAAATATTCCATTCGTGACAACAATGTAGTAAAGTAGTTCCAATATAATCGTATGTATGCTTGTTTTCTAATAAAAATACTCCTATTGTAATTGATTTTAGTTCTGTTTCTTGAAGATAATGAACAGTTAGTCCCAAAAAACTTCGATTATTCAAACTATCAGTCCATGCGTCAGTTGTTAGACAAAAATTATCCACCAACTTGAATTTATCTTTAATTTTGGAACTTAAAACTGTATATTTTTCATCAACTTGTCTTGTAATTGTAGAACGCCCTGGAGCCTTATATAGTGGTAAAGCGACCTTTTTGAAATATTGAAATCCTTTACGTTCTGTGAAAGATAAGGGAAGGTGATCAACTGTGATCATATAAATCAAAGCATTGGTTATTTTAGCATTCATTCTTCCACCTAGCAAAAAGCATTTCATACAAAAAAATATTTTTCAGTAATTGGAACTTACCTGAAAATGAATTTATTTCATCGAAAGCTGATACTATGTCATTTTGTTTGAACTTGAGGGTAGATTTTTCGAAACTGGGCAATGCATCTATTTCACTAAGATCAGTAAGATCACAGAGAATTACTGTTGTTGCTTCTGATAAATTTGTCTCTAAAAGTTTAATGGAATATGTAATTAGGTATTTCTCTGCATTAACCAACTTACCGCTCTTTTCGACATCATTGTGTAGTGATGATGTAGAAACATCATTCTGTAGTGACGATGTAGTAGTCTGGGTCTGATCTTGATCCTCTTTTGAACCTTTGTTATTTATCACTTTTAGACGTTTTTGACTCTTGTTTTGTGCCAATCCCATATTTAAAAATTCTGAATGTTTACGTTTCAGGTGGTTTCGTAAATTTGTAGTATTGTTATGATGCTTGTAAACATTGCTACATATTTTGCACCTTGATGAAATTGCAGTAAATTTCGTGAAATAGCATTTTACGTCAATGTGCGACTCTGACATTTCTAATCTAAAAGTAAACAAAATGCCGAACAACTTTTATAACCAAATTACAAACCTACTGTTAATGGTCAATAGTGTTAATCTTGTTTTCCAAATCCAAAGCACAATATTCACCACATATTTACATTAACGTAGAACCAGTATTCTAAATCACTAATTCAGATGACTATTGACTACATGTACATGTACATCGCAATTCTTCGGTTTTTACTTTTTTGTCCTATTCACACCACGACTTAAACAAAGATGTGCTTTGCACTACAAATACATCAAACAAAGACAACGAACTCCCACTAGAAATAAATATAAGTAGAAAATGCTAGAAACTATTTGGCGCGTACATTGGCACATTCTGCCATTCTCACCTTTATGTACATCGAAATTAGGGGTGGTAATTCGATCAAATCAAACGTTTTAACGTTAACGTTCAAGTTCAGAAAAATGTTCGTAATCGCAGTAGATACCAACCGTTAATTCTAAAATTGCAAAAGTTACTAAGATGATTGTTTGAGCTGTGGTTTGAGTAAAAAAATGATTTCTTTCTACAATTTAAAAAAGCATCGATTTTCACTCAAAAAAAATCGATCCCCAGAGAATCGTGCAGATAAATAATCGATTCATAATCGATCATTTTGTTAAAAATATAATCGAATATCGAAGAATCGAATCGAGAATGGGCATCACTAGTATATCTGACATAACCTTCAACTGTAAAGCAATAGCCTTGTTGTGTAAACAATAGTTAGCCGTTACATTTTGCAGTCGCGTGGTGTTGTTTTTATTAGTAGCTACTATAGTGGTCTATGCTTTTGGGATCAAAATAAACTTTTGGTTTAATACCTATTTATTGTAAAGTAAGTACCTAAAGAAGGAATTTTCTAATAAAAGTGTTTGGAAGCGTGTATTCATGATTATGTAATTATTGCTTTGTTAACAGATTATTAGTGAAAAATGGCAGAAAAAAGAACACGTGCACCTAATTTCAGCAAAGAAGAAAAGTTGCTACTTTTGCAGCTGGCAGAAAAACATAAACATATTTTAGAGTGTAAAAAAACAGACGGGGTGACATGGTGAGAAAAAGACTTGTGCTGGAAGAACATAATGGTGCAGTTTAACGCTTCCACCCCGGCCTTGGTTCAAAGAACCGACGAAAATTTAAAAAAAATATATGAAAATATAAAAAAAAACACAAGGAAGCAGGCCGCAGCAGATCGCTGCAATTTATATAAAACTGGTGGGGGTCCATCTACAAGTAAATGTGGCGACCCCATATTTGAAGCGACATTAAATATTTTGAGCCAAAAAAGTGTTTTTGGACTAACCAACGTTCATGATGGTGATGGAGATCCTACAGAGGCCAGGGAACCCTATCAACTTGTACCATCTCCGGGTGCTCCAATAGGATGTGACGAAGAGGAAGAAATTTTGATTGTCACCACAAATGTAATTGTACTATAAATTTATATTACAATTTATAACCTGGTTGTTTTTTTTATTTTAGGATGAGGAAACTACAGTCGAAAATAATAATTGGGGAAATCGAAAAGCGGAACAACTCAAGACTCCGTTGAATTCGCGTTTAAAAGTACAAAATAAACAAAGTTGGGTTAACCGTAGAAGACCAGCGTTATCTGCCACCGAATCGGTCGCCCGGAAATATGAAGATATGGCAGTTAGACGAGCGGAAGTGCCAAACTACAGTTAAAGATTTTGCAGCATAAGCTACAACAGCAGACCAAGGAAGCTGAAGATTCAGCTAAGTTGTTGCAGCTACAAATTGAAACAGCTGAATTGCAAAAAAAGTGTTTTATTAGATGTTAAAATAAAAGAAAAACAATTGCAAAAATTAGAAGAAATGTAACAGCATTATATCTAGTTTAAATAAACGTATTTTTATAATTGTCCAAAATATTCATTTATTAGATTTCTCTCTCGACAGGCGAAATCTTCTGCGAAATGCAACCTCATCCAAGGTATCAAAATAATGAGATCGCTCGTATATTTGGCGTGGAATCCGATTCTCTAAAAAGTCCAGTACAAATAAATCATCAATATCTTCATTTTCTTCGAAAATAGCATTTGCGATTTCCATAATTGATGATTATATTATTGTACTCTTCTTATATCTATATGTATATGCATTTAAACCAGAAAAATAATCGAACACCAGCTTGCGTACTACTTATCGTATGTATGTTTATTACTAGTTCATGAGGGTCACGTGGGAAACTCTTTGATTACGACTAAACTGTGGAGTCAAAGGAAAACATCACATCCAATCACGTCATAACCTCAATAACCTGACATGTTTTCAACGTCTGTAAGCGCAGTTTTAGCTTTAACTTCAGCTTATTCTACGGTTTAAATTTTGTTCAATTTAAACCAGACTTCAAGTTTAAAAAATGGCGGTGCAATGCATATAGAGTAATTAAACCACGCTTAAATTTTAAGCCGAACTGGTGCAAACGGGCATTAATAGTGAAGGTGTTATAACATTTTACAAGCAAGACTAAATAACGCATTTGCTTATTTGGTTTTTAAAAATATTTTTTTAATTTTGTTAACATTGTAATAATTAATTGTTCATTTTTTGTGATCTTCTAAAGCTACGAAATTTGTTGGGTTCACAAGAATTACACATTATGTACATCAGAAAATTGTACTTATTTCTTTTGTTGTATTCGCTAGGTATAATATCATGTAGTATTTAGATGTTAGTTCCATTAAGCGATATTTTGTTCTGCCGATTTGCGAACGTTTTTTGTAATTTTATGTATTTTTATTGGTTTTGTTTATAAAAATATTTTTCAAAGTGCTGATTTTTTTTTAAATATGCCTACCCATTTTTTGCGAATCTACACTGGATTATCATAATCCGATAATTATATACGAATAAAAATGCCATATTATTAATAACACCATGATATACTTCATCAAGAATATGTATTTTCTAATGAAAAATATGCAGTAGCGTTGTAGTTAATTAACGGTACTTAATCACAACCCTTTCTAAATCTTAATCTTTAAGCACAGTAAACTATCAGTTACACTATTTGTAATGTGCAAATAATAACGATTTATTGTCTATAATTAAATAAAACGTTTATAAGTAACTGTTGATAATCTTATCAAAATAATAGGTAAGTTTAAATATCTCAAATAAAGAATTTGTTAATTACAAATGTATATTTCTTAACCAATATTTAAATTCAGGATTTATTTATCTAAATGAAGTTTTCTTTTTGTTAAATAAACCTTTTTTTCGGTGCAGAGAATAGCAAGAAAGTTTATTAAGATTTAAGTTTTAGTGATATACTGAACCCTTAGCAACCAGTATTCCATTCAATGAAACACTGATTCATTTTAACAACGCCAAACAAGGGTAATAATAGCTAGAATATAAACAGGAATACGAGAAGTTCTTTTTAAAAACAAGTTTATTAAACCAATAAACTTAACTGACTCCTGTTTTTTTATATATTTTTTCGTTTCGTTTATTCAGATTTTTCAATAAAACACTTTTATTTTTTGAATTTTCATCATGTTTCTCTTTTATTTCGTATAATTCATCATATTTACAAAGTTGTTAAATTTAAAGGGTGTTAAATTGCAAATTTCCATAGTAACGAGTTAAATCTGTAAATCTGATTGGCTGTTTATTTTTTAACAACCTTTAAATTTTAACGGGTTTGATTCAGAATTGGGCCTATAGTGTCGATCATTAGACATTATGTGATTGATTATGAATTGATCATTTTATGCAATAATTGTCAATTACTGCGTTATAGTAGAAAGATTTTCATATAAAGACAAAATAAAAAACAGTATCTTAAATCCGTCAGAAACATTGAAAACAAAAAATATGTTTCAGAAAGAGATTTTAAGCATTTTTATTTGCGGTGAGATCTTTAAGTGCCAATCGTTGGGTATTTTACCCTATTTAACCACACTAAAACCAAGCGAAATTGCTTCAAAAACATTAATTCATTAAATTTTAATTAAACATGCATGCATACTCTGATACTGATAGGCAACCTGGAGGAACCGTATCTGCTTTGATATTATCCATAAAAATTGTATTTTTAATAAATTGCAATGAACATAGTAATTAGGTACGCGGTTGCTATTACTATTATTTATTGCATTGTGTTTGGGGTTTAACGTAAAACTGTAATAACTTTTCATTAGAAATGTTGCAAAACTTTCATGATCTCGGTTATAACTGCTTGCCTCAACATTGTGTAGAAAGTTCAAATTGATAATTTATTGTCACAAAAACAAAAACTTACCCCATGATGATTAGTACTACGGCGAATGGCGAGAATCTTGATGAACTGTTCCATGTGCAACTAACACAAAAACTTTGTGAAACTAAAAACATCCGTAAGTGTTTGGGAAAACCGATCACGCTTTGTACACTGACCGGTATAAAAAGTCGGCCGCCCTGAAATATTTTTGCAAACCATTTTGAAAATTGTATTTTAACTAGTGATTGTATTTATTTCTCCTTTTTTGGGCTAATTTGTACATCCTGTGCCTACAGTGTATGATTCTCTATAGAACATAACAATTACTAGATCAATTAATCATTTTTAAAGCGATTTTGCGAAAAATGTCAGGGTGGTCGGTTTTTTGCCGGTCAGTATATATTTTCGAAAGTCCAGAACACAAGTAACACAATTCTACAAGTTCACTGTCATCGTGGAATCACTAATCACTGTCATTCAACTCATCGTCAATACACACTTCCTTCTACGCGTCGGTTGCAAGCACAACTGAGAGGACTCATGCGAACAATATATTCCCAACAACTTTGTGCGCAGGCTTTGCACAGAACCTCTTACAGAATTTAGGAGGTGTCTACGTAGCCACCGACGGTAAATAATAAAAGCTATTTTGCTATTAATTTGTTTATTTATAAGTATTAACGATTTATAAAAGGTGGTCCTAATTACTAATGATTAATGAATTCATTAGTAGTACAGATCTGCAAGATTTGAACGTTAAAAACCTATTTATGTTTTAGCCACTATTTTGCATATCTGGTATTAGCCAATAACACGTGACGTCACGCTGTGGCGGAAACTCAGCGTTTGGCAAGCGCCGTGAAACTCCGTAAGTGACAATGTTAACATTTTCGCATTTTATTTAAAAGTGTGGGTATTTATCTAGAAAATAAACACGTGAATAGCTTCTTTCATATCTTTTCTGTGTATCTGGGTGCTTTTTTTGGCGATTTGAGTATAAAAAAACCATAATAAAAATAAAAATACAGAACGCTGTTTTAGTCTGAATTCCTCGTCACCCAAAATACATCCGTGTGTTTTAAGCGGTAAATCGGAAATTAATATTTTCGTTTGAGGTTAATGTGACGGGTTTAAGTGAAGGTGTGTGATTTGTTTTTAAAGTATGGATAATTTAAGTGATTATGCACGATGTCTTTCTGTCAAAGAGAAAAACAGATATGTACAAAAGTTAAACAATTTAAACGGCGTAGATCCTTATACAATGAGTGCAAGTGATTTTAATTTGTGTTTAGACGATTTCCCTACCATAACAATGAATACCATTCTAAACTTTTTTATTTTTGGAATAAGTAAAATAACCCACAATGAAATTCGTGCATTCAAAACTCTACAGGCATTTATTCAGTTTTCTCTTTTTTAAACGACTGTGTCTTTCAACATTACAAGTATTATGAGTGGATTTATTTTGATATCCTAAATTTTGTGATGGAACATAATCAGGATGGTCCACATCCGACAAATCTGCGGGTTTACCTAAAAGAGCACCAATGTAGTAATTTATTAGAAACTGTAAATCTAATAGGTAGTTACTGTACCTAAAATAAAATGATCCGAACAAACATAGGAATACTTTACTTTGGCGTCGTTAAATCCACCCGTTTCAAGGTTTTTAACCAAAGCTTCCGCCTTTTTTCCCCATCCTGTATATATTTACCTTTATTGTTGCTAATTGCTGGGAAAGGAAAATAAAATTTGTCCGCATTTCTGGTGCTTCGATTCGCGCAACCCACAACAGCATAAAATTTAGGCATTTTCCCCTAAAATACAAAATATTATAATATTAAGATGCTAGTGTATTTAAAAAACATTGATGTACATTAACAAAGATTTAATTTGCAAAACAAATAATATAAGATGCAGCGAAGTTAACCTGTACATCACATTGGAAAACATTATTTTTTAAGCATATTCAAACGTTATGGTGCGTTTTACAGATATCTACACAGTCTAGAAACTGTAACAAACTTACCAAACTATAAAAACACAGTTGACACACTCTCAAATTTAAATGAATTCCGAAAATATTAGCATTAACTCTTATGAGAAAACCGGCTAGTTGTCAAACGCTGCCATCTTGATGACCTCGGATGACGTCAGTGTATTTGGCTAATTCCTATTTCTGTCGTACCTACCAAAATTATTTATTGACCGCAGCTGAGAATTTGGACACTGTAATGACCGAAACATTCCGCCAAAACTGAGACATGCACACACAACTCAAAGCTCACAGATTTTTATAACAATGCCTTATCCTATAATTATGACTTTATATATTTAACAGAAACCTGGCTTTCAGATGATGTATTGAATAGCGAATTGTTTAATGAAAATTACAATGTATATATATCGGAAAGATAGGGGCCTAAGAAATCTTGGGCTAACGAGGGCTGGAAGTATTCTTATCGCAATAAAAAATAAGTTCACTTGCACTGACTTGAAAATCTCTTCCAGAACAACTACAATCCCCGAGATTGATGTAGGTACTTGGTTTAAAGATCTCAGACAACAAGGCTTCATTTTATATACTTCTTGTTTACATACCACCTTTTACCGCTTTCATAAATTTTGAACAATTCTTTGAACTCTTGGAACCTTTTTAGAGAGAAAATGGCCGACGGTTAATGACACTAGTAACTTTTTTTTGACATTTGTTTGATCGCCTTGTCGCGTCTTATAAGGCGACGGCTTATTAAGGGCCACTTTTATGTGGCTTAGGGTCTGGGATACGCATTATCAAATTGTGGAATCGAAAGTGCGATATAAATCTGAACTGCCATAATGGCTGGTATGAGCAATTAAGAGTTTATCACCTCGTTAACAAGAAGTGGACATTAATGAAAATATTATTATTATTATTATTATGTTAGTATGCTCTACAGATTGAAACCCAATTACAGAACATACACACAACATGCCATCATTAAGTAGGTTCATAAATTTTGCACATCAATTAATTAATTAATTCATTAATTGTTTAGGATTTGTACTAAATAGATCTACAGCCCTTGGTGCAGAATTACCCAATATCAACATGTTATACATAGGTGAGAATCGTAGAAAATCGTGTAATAACCCAAACATTCCGCCAAAATTTGAGACATGCGCACAAAATTTGAAAACCCGCGAAAAATTCGAAAAGTGGCCATGAACTGTGATCGTCAACAAAATGGGGACCCTACGTTGTGTTTTGAATGGCGGAATGTGTTCGGATGCAAGTGGTGAACCGCAAAGGTGGAAAAGTAACCTTGAAATTAACAACACCAAAAATATGGCGGGAATAATTTTATTAAGTTCTTTCCTTTTGTTGTTTGTTTTTTTTTTTTTTAATATTTCTGTTACAAAAATCTGGTTCTTTTCGAGTGTAATAATTTACAAATTTCAATCAGATTAAACACAGCTTGTTCTTAAATGTATACATACAATGCTCTAGTTTGCAAATTCATATCTAACGGAAATGGAAAGCAATGCCCAAATTATTCTGTTGGCAGATTTTGATTATTTAAACGATTTAACTGTCATCGAACTATTTCTTTGCACTACCACAGCTACGTACAACCAAGCCACTGTGCGACCCCAAACGTCACGCTATCTCCATCCTGTGTTCGCCGGCGCCCGAGGCAGCGGCTGCAAGTATTATCCCGTAACTTTACTCCATCCACCGCGGGACACAAGACACTGGCTCCCACCACTAAACTTTCCTTTACCAGCAAGACACCCTCCGCATATCCCGTAAAAAAATAATAATAAAAAAAAAAAAAAAATAAAAAAAAAAGTGACCTTTGGTTGTTCATAAATTTCTTAACAAGGCGGAATCTTTGGATAAAACTCAATTCAATAGCTTTATTTGACTCAAAAGGACTCATAATAGTGCAAGGTACTGTATTCACTATTACAACAAAGTATTTAACTCGATATTTGCATTTAATTTCCTTTTTTCATAACCAACTGTCAACGCTGACATTTCCAACTAAAAAATGAGTCTAAACCAAATTGTTTCGCCTACAACGGAGAATGTTCAACTCGAAATCCGACGAACACCTATTACTGCAGTCTCCGAAGAGGTAGATGGAGCAAGTGGCATCACCTCGGGAAATACTACCACAAGGACAATTAACAACATATTGGTCTCTAATGTTTCTCAGACAAATCAGCCTCAGACCATTAGAAGACGAGAAGAACCAAAAAAGCGTAAAAAGTGGTCTCTAGACATGAATTTACATATTATGCGCTTATATTATAAAATTACAAACAATGAAACTGATGTAAGTAATTATCGTACAGCTCTACACGAAGCCTTCAGCCGTGAGTACCCAAATTTTCCAGTTACCATTCAAAATTTAGCAGATCAACGTAGAGCTATTGTTAAAAATAACTACATACCTCAACTTACTCTAGAACAATTAAAAAATGAAGTTTCCAAAACCATTAATCCACTTCCTGAAGATATCAACAAGACACCACCAAATACATTACTAACTGACACATCTGTCACCAATTTGTCAAAAACAACATCTCAAAATAAGATACCAATTATACCACAAAATAGTAACAGTAGTCTATCAAATACAACAGAGACACCGACTGACGCATTTACTAAAGATTTATTAAACAAAACACCTCAAAATAAGATCACAACCATAACACAAATTACAAACACAATATCAAACAGATCCCAAACATTAACTGACAAATCATTTAACAATTTATCAAGAACAATCCAAAACGAAATTAACATCACAGATAATCTACAAAACACATACTACAACAACGAAGGCACATTAATCAAAACTGTAAACAACAATTTTAAATTTCACATTAATTTCCAAAATGAAATTGAAGACAAATTTAAATTAACTTTCGAAACATGTTCCAAATTAAAACCAAATGATAGACATTCACTTCCCCGCCAGTATTATTCTAAAAAGTTTCTAGCAATTGTAGAAATAATGAACTCCTTCATTTTACCAAAATATCTCACAAACTCGATCTCTTTTGAAAAACTTCATACAATTATCTACTGTGCAGCTTTAACTTGTATTCAAATTAACACATGTAAAGATAACATAATAAATACAAACACCAATCGTATACCTTCGACCCCTCATTGGGAAACACGGTTAAATTATAAAATTAATAACATTAGAAAACAACTAGGTCAAATAACACAGTACCTTAGAGGAGTTAAAACACCACATATCATGACATGTATGCATTCGATACTGACCAACAATAATTTTCATCAAACTGATTACAATGAGTACAACACAACATTATCCCAAATTAAAGATACCCTATTACAAAAACTTTCC